TTTCATCCTGCTTTCCATCGTCCGGAGGTCTGAGACTTTTTCCTAGGATCAGATCGATGGCATTGGACCCAAGAGGAGCACCGAGGAGAGTGCTATTGGCTGGATCAATGGCTCGTGCTCCTGGTAAAACGGCACTAATATTCTGGATCATCTGTTGATTGGTAGAAACTATTTCACATTTGGTGGGGTTTAAAGAAAGGCCCAGGTTTTCTCCCATGTCTTTAATTTTACTGATGTCCTCTAGGAGAGATTCTGTTGTGCCAGCTAGGGTACCGTCGTCCAGGAACCAGATATTGAGCTCGCTGGAGAGAGCCTCCGTGACTTCCTTGATGACCAAACAAAATAGAAAGGGGGCGAGAGAGTGTCCCTGTTGCACGCCCTCACACGAGTCAATTTCATGGTCCCCAAACAATAGTTTGGAAGTCACACTATAACACGATTCTATGAAGGTATAAAAGGAAGGGAAGTTTCTATAAACTGCTTGGAGAGCAGCATCCCTTCTGACTGAGTTGAAAGCATTGGCAAAGTCCAATTTGACCAAGGCTTTTTCATCGGACATGTTTTTGATATATACTCGTGCTGCGTGGGCAGCTGCTTCACAGCCCTGTTGAACGCCGAAACCAAGCTGAGTTGGTTTCAGCATTGCAGCAGCCTCTTGATTCACCCTTCTTACTGCAGCCTTGGCGACTAGGCGCCGAAGGGTGTTACCCACTGCAATGGGCCTGATTCCGCCATCCTTTTTCCGGAGGGCACACAATGAGGCACCAAAGAAAAGGGGTCTGATGGCCTCTGGGACATTGCCAGCCAGGCACAGGTTGGAAAATTTGTTGAGTTCAGACAGCAGCCTCTCTGAAACCTCACCAAGTGCTGGATTGAGTATTTGTTTTAAGTGTTGAGGCCTTAAACCGGTGAAACCTCCTGCTGAGCCCTGTGGAAATGACATAGCAGCTTTATACACATCAGCATCCTGTAAGGTTAGATGTTCTTCTCCTGCTGCAATGTCAGGGAGGTCAATGTTGGTACTGGGAGCCCTGGGTGGATGTTTGTCCTTCAGAGCTTGCGCCGTGCTTGGGAGCGATGGTATCCTCACTGGTTATAAGTCTCAGAGCTCCAATAGTATTATTACCCTCTTCTATTTTTTTGCTAATTTGGGCTCTGATTTTTGAGGTGTTGGGTGTCCTGTTGTTGGCATTTGCCCGGCGGGTGTTTGTCGCCCTAGGGGGGAGACGGACGAGGTTGTCCGTCTCCCACCGAGGCAGGGTGACCCAAAAAGAAAGAAAATCCCCAAAAAGAAAATACTTTCATCATCATTCAACACTTTCACCTCACTCACACGTAATCACTGTTTTTGCAGAGGTGCTCAGAATACAACAGTTTAGAAGCATATACAAAGATACACAATATATCCCTCCAAACTGCCAATATCTCAAACCCCACGCATTCACTCACCATTTCCAAAAATCTCTCTCTCTCTCCTTTACACTTCTCTCTTCTCCAGGTGCATATACGCTTACTATAACCCACTTCTCACATCCAACCTTTATTTTACTCCACATAATCCTTGAATTAATATATTTATAATCCTTCTTTTCTTGCTATAGCTTATCCTTCAACATTATTGCTACTCCTTCTTTAGCTCTAACTCTATTAGAAACTCCTGACCTAATCCCATTTATTCCTCTCCACTGAAACTCTCCCACCCCCTTCAGCTTTGTTTCACTTAAAGCCAGGACATCCAGCTTCTTCTCATTCATAACATCCACAATCATCTCTTTTTTATCATTTGCACAACATCCACGCACATTCAGACTTCCCACTTTGACAATTTTCTTCTTCTTATTCTTTGTAGTAATTATTACAGGAAAAGGGGTTACTAGCCCATTGTTTCCGGCATTTTAGTTGACTTTTACAACACGTATGGCTTACGGAGGAAAGATTCTTATTCCACTTCCCCATGGATATAAAAGGAAAAGTAATTAGAACAAGAACTTAATTAGAACAAGAACTAAGATAAAATCAAAGAAAACTCAGATGAGTGTGTATAAATAAATGTGCAGTGTGACCTAAGTGTAAGTAGAAGTAGCAAGACATGCCTGTAATCTTGCATATTTATGAGACAGACAAAAGACACCAGCAATCCTATCATCATGTAAAACAATTACAGGCTTTCGTTTTACACTCACTTGGCAGGACGGTAGTACCTCCCTGGGTGGTTGCTGTCTACCAACCTACTATCTATAGATATACCTATAGATATACCTATATATATATATATATATATATATATATATATATATATATATATATATATATATATATATATATATATATATATATATATATATATATATATATGACCTTATGAGAATGGAGGAGAGAATAAGCGATCTTGATGCCCATGATGCTCTGTATCTCCTCACAAGGTGTCTTACTATGCCAAGACTCACTTACTTCTTGAGGTGTGCACCCTCTTTTGACAACCCAACACTCGATGAATATGACGCACACCTGACATCAACTTTTAAGAAGGCACTGAACCTGTCACTAGAGGATGAGCAATGGGATCAGGCAACCCTCCCAGTGCGACTGGGAGGTATAGGGGTGCGTAAAGCAACGCATGTTGCTTTACCTGCTTTTCTGTCTTCGTGTTTGGCTTCCAGTGCATTAGTCAAGAAGATAGTGCCCGAACGCTTGAGAGACTTGGTAGGAGCTCAAGACCCCAGGTTTACTGAAGCAGCAATTCGGTGGGACACCCTTACAGACTCCTCCAGTAGACCAGCTCCTCCCAAACAGCACAAACAGTCCCACTGGGACAAACCGATCATGGAAAAAATCGCCAACACAATGCTCTCCAATGCTTCAGGAAAGAACAAAAGCGTCCTGATGGAGCCACTATGCTACCCTGGAAGGATGGAAAGCAGATTGCCTGGGACTACACCTGTGCTGTCACATTGGCAGACACCTACTTGCCATACTCTGTAGTGGAAGGGGGTGGAGGTGCCAGCCACAGGGAGACCCAGAAGATCCGAAAATATGAAGACCTTCCCCCTTGCTATAACTTCATTCCAATAGGGTCGGAGACCCTTGGAGCATGGGGCAAGTGTGCTCTAAAGTTCCTCAAAGAGCTGGGTGAAAAGCTCATCATAGAAACCAAGGACCACAGGGCGACCAGCTTCCTCTTTCAGAGACTCAGTGTTGCGATCCAGAGAGGAAATGCCTGCAGCATTCTGGGCACGCGGCCCACCGCAGGGGAGCTGGACGAAGTATTCGAGATGTAGCTCTGAGTTACCTATGTTGTTTTACTTTGTATCATATTTTTGTGAATGTTTTGTCAATGTATTTTGTCTTTAAATAAAATATATATACATAATATAGGGGGTGGTAGGAGAAAATTCTCAAACAGCTACAGGGAGAATCTTGAGTTTTCCCTGAAGCAAGTTTATTCTTTTCTCTGAGGATGAGGGTCCCCATAACAGTTCTAGAGGTGGTACCTCCCTATATATATTATATATATATATATATTATATAATATATATATATATATATATATATATATATATATATATATATATATAATGAATTTTCATTGTTTCTTTACATATATATGTAATCTTCAATACATAATGCAGGTCCATTTATTCTTGCCTCAGTCTGTGATGGAGATACGTATATTCTTAAGAATTTTTTTCTTACGTGCATTTGAGAGGCCATTCTGAATAATGGTAATTCTCAGGTGATAGTAACTCCAGTTCTGTTGGAATAAAAGTTGTGGAGCTTCCGTATCTGATGAACGATTAACGAAACACTTAACGATAACTTCATCACACTGCTGAAGTCTCCCAGCTCAGACTGACACATTTCAGCAATATATCTGAAATCTATCTCATGTAATAATGTTTAAGAGGGACACGGCTAAGTTTCTTTCGCATTGTGTAACTGTTATAACGAATAAGGTGGCAACATACTGCTGATTTATCCAGTTTTGCTATAAAAAAAAGAAGTGCATCGTTATACTGAGATCCAACTCTTATCTCTGGAACAACTCTGACTTTCTGTAAATGGTGTACTGATTGGGTGAGCAACTCAACTCAGCTCTCGTATCCTTTTCTCTTCCTTCTCCTCCTCCTTCTTTTCTTCTTGTTTGTATGATTTGTTTTGCTTCAGTTTATCTTATTACATTAATATAAGAGATCCATTGTTTACTTCTCCCCCCCATCCCCCCATTACTGTTACATTCGTTGTTTTCCTCTGAGGGTTTTTCCAGCGTCACCTCCTGGACCAGCCGCCGAGCCAGCCTCACCTCCTGGACCAGTCGCCGAGCCAGCCTCACCTCCTGGACCAGTCGCCGAGCCAGCCTCACCTCCTGGACCAGTCGCCGGGCCAGCCTCACCTGAACCAGTCGCCGGGTCAGCCACTTCCTGAACCAGTCGCCGGGTCAGCCACTTCCTGAACCAGTCACCGGGTCAGCCACTTCCTGAACCAGTCACCGGGTCAGCCACTTCCTGAACCAGTCACCGGGTCAGCCACTTCCTGAACCAGTCACCGGGTCAGCCACTTCCTGAGCCAGTCGCCGGGTCAGCCACTTCCTGAACCAGTCGCCGGGTCAGCCACTTCCTGAACCAGTCACCGGGTCAGCCACTTCCTGAACCAGTCACCGGGTCAGCCACTTCCTGAACCAGTCACCGGGTCAGCCACTTCCTGAACCAATCACCGGGTCAGCCACTTCCTGAACCAGTCACCGGGTCAGCCACTTCCTGAACCAGTCGCCGGGTCAGCCACTTCCTGAACCAGTCACCGGGTCAGCCACTTCCTGAACCAGTCACCGGGTCAGCCACTTCCTGAACCAGTCACCGGGTCAGCCACTTCCTGAACCAGTCACCGGGTCAGCCACTTCCTGAACCAGTCACCGGGTCAGCCACTTCCTGAGCCAGTCGCCGGGTCAGCCACTTCCTGAACCAGTCGCCGGGTCAGCCACTTCCTGAACCAGTCACCGGGTCAGCCACTTCCTGAACCAGTCACCGGGTCAGCCACTTCCTGAACCAGTCACCGGGTCAGCCACTTCCTGAACCAGTCGCCGGGTCAGCCACTTCCTGAACCAGTCACCGGGTCAGCCACTTCCTGAACCAGTCGCCGGGTCAGCCACTTCCTGAACCAGTCGCCGGGTCAGCCACTTCCTGAACCAGTCGCCGGGTCAGCCTCCTAACAAGTCTGGACTTGAGTCTAATACTTCATACTCTATCATCTGTTACAGTAACTAAAGTATTATATATTTAGGTTTCTGAAATGAGTTTTCAGGTTCGTTTTATGAGTAAATACTACTGAAGCTGCACCGCTGATGTGCACGTCCGGCGTTATACGAGAGTCACTACTGTCACCATTTTTTTCTCCACTTTAGAAGTCTGCAGTCTGTTCGAAAAGTTTATACTCCGTCTCCAGTCTTCTTTCTCCTTAATTTTTTGTAGGTTTGCACTTGCTTGGGTTGAAATCCAGTAACTGTTTGTCTCATATTCCCTGTACACTGTCAGAGCCTTCAAGTAACCTTTCAGATTATGTGTGTGTGTGTGTGTGTGTGTGTGTGTGTGTGTGGGTTCTTTGGTTTACAGTCTTATCTGTATTCTTTAAGATGCTGTAGTGAAGGTGGTCACTCGGTGCCTAGATCCTCAAACAAAACGCTGTTTATGAAGGGAATGTGATCAGCGATGCTAATAAAGAGACCAGGTAGCCTGGAGACGCCGCTGCCCCGGCAGGAGACACCGGCGCCCACTATCCCCACCAGGAACCGTCGACCCTCATCATCATCCAGGAAGAGAGGACCTCCTGAGTCACCCTAGGGAGGAGCAAGACGCAGATATAATGTAACTATCTCGAATACTTTCTGTGTGTAGTCTCCCATCATACCTGTCCCTAAAGCTACGTACTGACTCTGTGACTTATTTTTCTTTTGAACTCGCATCTATTCCTCATTTCTAGCCTATTCAGAATTTTGAACATTTTTCGCCTCTATGTGTATCGCTGTAAAATTGTAACTAGTACTAATTCTATCGATTTTATTTTAAATATTATTCCTTAAAGCGAACAAACTTGTTATAAAAATTTCCAGTGATCATACTACTAATAGACACAGCCTGGTTAACCAGGCTAGCGCCACATGAGCCTGGCCTATGGCTGGGCTCTGGGAGTAGAAAGACTCTCGAAACTCATCAACAGTAACTGTCATGAAGTACAAGGAGAAAGCTATACCTGACAAGCACTCCTGTTGGGGAAGCTGGCGCAGATGATGTCTTGACTCTCCAGCAGGTTAGGGTAGAGAAGTCTCAGCTGAGGCTCGTAGTCCTCGTTCTTGTAGATGTTCTCACACTCTGCCGTGCCCACCACCTTCAGCTCCGCCTCCTGCAGGATGGGGGACTGGTGTGCTGTTGCCCAGCACCATCATCAGTTAGTAATGCAGATAATTGGTACAGAGAACAGACAAGCTGATAACTTAGACATAACTTTCTTAAGGAAGGTTACTTGTCAGTCACAACCACGGTATTGTAACTCATTCTTCGTGGTTTCCGGTGTCTCCAATAATTTACTGGCTGACTGATAAATTAGACACATGTGCAACACTTGGGTAGTTTTATTGTGAAAACGGTGCGCCACACAGTGGCTTCATCAGTCCAATACAAAGGAAAACAGTGAAGATCAGATGGAGTTTTAGATAATCAGTCCCTCAGCCTGGAGTCGATGTACTCAACCAAGTGTTGTACATGTGTTTAATCTATCAGTCAGCCAGTAAATCATTGGAGACACCGGAAACCACGAAGAATGAGTTACAATACCGTGGTTGTGACAACTGACAAGTAACCTTCACTTGAGAGAAGAAATTGTAACGATGTTTCGCATTTGTCAAGTCACAGCTGATTCTACCCTTGAGGCTAGTAAAAGACTCTTGATCCAAGGGATTGAAGTTACCAGTCCTTTCTCTGGATGGAACCTGATATCTCCGCCTTTATCTCGACTAAGTCGTATTTGCATCAACTTAAAAGAATTCAATTCAACTAACTTAGATTTGTTTGTTTCATGGTAAGCGCTAAACCCATGTGGGTCATTCAGCTCAAGCCGTGGTGGAGGCTTGATCCTCCGTCTAGCTTCCTTCACAGATGGGTGCCTTGTTGTCAATGTAACTCTTGTGAGATACTCACTGGCATTAATGAGGCCGAAGCCAGCGCCGGTGACGAGGGTCTTGGGCTTCGGACGCTCCCTCACTAAGCAGTACGGGAACACGAACTCGTTGTAAGTGATCTTCTCAACTGTTTTGATCATAGCGATGTCGTTGTACCTCACACGGGACTCCGGGCTGTGGTGGACACGAAAGGAAAGCGGGGTTAGCACACTGTAACCGGGGGTCAGGACATGGGGGGATTACAGTCTGTGTATCTGGGACTCTGGACATGGTGTTAGGACACGGGGGTTTTGTGAAAAGGTTAAAATGGACTGTTGTCACAGGGAAACGTATGTTTATGATTGATCGGACTCTAGAGATGTAGGTATTAGGACAGTCCGGGTGCACATAGGTGAATATAAAACAGGCCGGGGTGAGCACAAAGCACCCAGGGGCGAGCACACAAACACACATGTGCAGAAAAATCTACGAAGAAAGCAAGAGATTAACACAGGATCCCCACAATACTTACTCATACTGTGGATGGACAATAATCTCTTGGACATCGTAGTCGACTGGAGCTGAGTTGTTCTCGTTGTCGCTGCTGAAGTCTAAGTTTCTCCAAGTCCTCACGGCGTTTAACCTGAGATACACTATAAACACAGCGAAGGATACATCTTTCTCATTTTTTTTTTTTTTTAGCTATGGTTAGGCTAGATTTTGTTAGGTAAGAGGACACATGTGCGACATTTTTTTATTGTGGCAACGTTTCGCTCTCCAAGAGCTTTGTCGGTAATTATACCAACATTATTACAGATTAGATTTGGGTATAAACCTTAGTAATGTACAAACAAATTGGTTTAGAAAGACACGTGACCAAACACAAGGACATATTTATGAGAAAACTTTTCGATCCTGGGACCTTGATCACTTCTAGCATGGAAAGGTTAAAAAGACAGTATATATAGGGGAAGAGTGAGGTGTGAGTGACACATGGACAGTGTGATCACATGACTCCTGTGTTGTTGAGTATTTGGTGCTTTGCTTGGTTGAGTATCACGTATGGCTATGTTTTAGAAACTTTATAGTTTCCAGTATTATGTTCTATGATGTCGGTGACGGCGATTAGCGAGGCTTTCAGACGTCGTATGCGTCTAAAGTCTTGTTCGGTGAGGATGAGTTGTGCCTCATCCCGATTCATCAGATGTCCCGTGGAGTCCCTGTGGAGGACACAGGCGTACCTTAAGTCGTCTCTGTTGCTGGCGTTTCAATGTTCGTTCAGGCGAACTGTTTTCCCTACATATTTCTTGGGACGGGATGGTGAAGACGCCCGCTGTGGAAGTTAGAGGTGTGGGGCTACGTTTCGTAGTGAGGTCTCTGATAAATGTGTTTATGGTAAAAACGTTTATATTGCTCTTAGCAAGTGCTTGGCGAGTATTCTTGGCAACATCACCGCATGAGAGCACTATGACTATGAGCACTATGAACTGCTTAGAGGACTGTTCCATCGGGGACTTATTGAAGACAGCTCGTACATTGAGTCAGCAATCCTGGATAAATAAAAATGGAAACTGAAGACGTGTGAAGGCTTATGTTGCCTAGATACATTATTCTTCAAGGAAGCAAGGGCTGGAGATGCGAAGAAGCCAATAAGGCCATCTATTTTAATGAGGACTGTCTTAGTGCCAAATGAAGTGTATAAGATTGTCCTTGTTGGTTGGTTTTCTATACACTTTGAAGAGAAGTTTATCACTGTCGGGAGACCTGCAACAGGAGGACGTCGAGGAAAGGAAGTTTACCATCTTTTTTCGAGTTCAAGTGTAAACTTTATTGATGGCTCGACACCACTGATCACTGGTTTCTTCTTGAGAGTTCTTCGCATCTCCAGCTCTTGGTTCCTTGAAGAAGAAGGTTTCTACATAACACAAACCTTCACAATGGGACAGTTGATGAATTGAGATGAGGCACAGTTCGTCCTCACCGAACAGCATCTTAGACGCAGACGGTGTCTGGAAGCCTCGTTAACCGTCGTCACCGGCACCATAGAACATAATGCTGGAAACCACAAAATTTCCAAAATATTAGCATACATGATACTTAACCAGGCAAAGTACCAAATACCTAACACAGGAGTCACGTGATCACATTGTTTACCCGTTCTCATCCTTATATGATAATTTTTTCAGGTCACCATGCGTCTCTCACACCTCACTCTCCTCTATATACTGATTTTAACCTCTGTGTGTTAGAAGTGATCAAGATCCCAGGACCGAAACGTTTTTAATAAATGTCCTAGTGTTTGTTTGTCTTTCTAAACCAATTTGACGGTATGTATTACCATATTTTCTTCATCCGATATTATGAGAGATATATTGGAATACATATTGTTTGTTAGTTCTCCAATTCAGCAGCCTAGCCTAACTATGGGAAAATTGCAGTAATGTAACTAGCACTGATTACCTCAAACTCCTTCTAATCTTCAACATTCTTCTTTATTTAGGACTGATGAAGCTACTGCGTGGCGAAACATTTCCTCAGTAAAGATACCCAAGTGTTGCACATGTGTCTAATTCATCAACTTACGGGTTTTCTGAACCATTTATATACATGACGGCATCCGATATTACTATCATATTAAGTGTGGGAGAAGCAACGGTGTATACGAGGAACAAATAAGATACGAGTGAGTGGGGTTGGATTTAAGTGGGACTTGCATGTTAATTAACAGGGTTATCAACGCTTATTCCTTGGATAGCACTGAAAATGGGTTGGGCAAATGTTTTTGTTAGAGGGTTTGGATTGACTCAAGAAATCGTAATGACACGATTGCAAACAAACCATACCCCCGGCCGGGATTGAACCCGCGGTCATAGAGTCTCAAAACTCCAGCCCGTCGCGTTAGCCACTAGATTTGGATTTGGATAGACTTGGATTTGATAAAGGTCTGTCTTGCATGGGACAGTAGGCCCTCTGCAGTGTTCCTCCATTTTTGTATTCTTATGTTCTTAAGAACGCCTATAACCAGTTTCGAGTTTATTTTTTTTTCCAACTTTGCACCTCGGCCTGAGGTCAGACCTCCTTGATAAACGCTTGGTAAAGTAGGCTGTTGAGACCAGCAGCAGGTCTAGACAGCCGTCACAGGCAGGCTAATGAGCTGGTGGTTTAGGTTACTCTTGAAAACCTCTGACATTGTTCCGGCAGTATTAGTAGTATTTACTATATATCTGTCATCACCTACTCTCTATCTGGCGACATCTATTGTATACTGACGTCATCTCCGTCTCGCAGGGTTACGTCAATGAGTCTTGTTATCAATTTTCGAACACATCAGTAATCTAAGAGTGCTGACGAAGGTGTTCAATCTTAATTAACCAAATTAGTGTTTCATATTAATAGCCAACAATTCAAAGAAGGGGAGAGAAACTCTGGTCGATGTTTCGGTCCGTCCTGGACAAAAGTATTAAGTGATTTGACAAAGGACTTAGACGATTCGAAACGTCGACTATAGTTTTCCCTCGAGGAACTGCAGATTGTGAATTGTTGGAGCTGTGGTGCTGTGTACTCATCAGCGAAGCGGTTCAGAGCGTACGGGTGGTTAAGGTCGAAGATGCAGTGTGCTGCGGTCACCAGGAAGCGGTCGGAAACCACGGTAGCGCCGCAGAAGGCGTCCGTCACCATGACCGCGGCGGTGCTATCTGTAACACAGGATACACATGAAAACACACATACATACACACACTAATACACACACGCACTAACAGACACACACACCAGGAGCTGAGTCTCGACCCCTGCAACCACAAGACGACTACCCGAGGTGTGGAAGGCAGCAAATGTAGTCCGAATTTTTAAGAAACGAGACAGACACGCAGCGCTGAACTACAGATTATCAGAAGAGTGGTGGAACACTTAGAAAGGAATGATCTTATACACGACAACCAACACGGTTTCAGGGAAGGAAAATCCTGTGTCACAAACCTACTGGAGTTTTAAGACAAGGTGAAGGAAGTAAGACAAAGAGAAAGAGAGGGAGAGAGGGGTAGATTGCTTTCTCTTGGACTGCAAGAAGACTTTCAACACAATTCCACACAAGAAATTAGTGCAAAAGCTAAAGGATCAGGCAAGTATAACAGGAAAGGTACTGCAATGGATCAGAGAATACTCGACAGGAAGGCAACAGTGAGTCATGGTATATGACAAGGTGTCAGAGTGGGCGCCTGTGACGAGCGGGGTTCCACACGATTCAGTCCTAGGACCTGTGCTATTTCTGGTACATGTGAATGACATGGCGGAAGGGATAGATTCAGAAGTGTCCTTGTTTGCAGACGATGTGAAGTTAATGAGGAGAATTCAATCGGATGAGGATCAGGTGAGATTACAAAGGGATCTGGACAGGCTGCAAGCCTGGTCCAGCAACTGGCTCTTGGAGTTTAACCCCACCAAATGCAAAGTCATGAAGACTGGGGAAGGGCAAAGACAGATTACAGGCTAGGGGGCCAAGGTCTGCAAACCTTACTTAAGAAAAATGATCTTAGGGTGAGTATAATCCCGAGCACATCTGAGGCGCACATCAACCGAATAACTGCTGCAGCATATGGGCGCCTAGCAAACCTAAGTATAGCGTTTCGATACCTCAGTAAGGAATCATTCAAGACTCTGTACACCGTGTACGTCATGCCCTTATTGGAGTATGCAGCACCAGTTTGGAACCCACACCTGGTCAAGCACGTCAAGAAATTAGAGAAAGTGCAAAGGTTTGCAACATGACTAGTCCTAGAGCTAAGGGGTATGTCCTAGGAGACGAGGTTAAGGGAAATCGACCTGACGACACTGGAGGACAGGAGGGATAGTGACGACATGATAATGACGTATAAAATACTGAGAGGAATTGACAAGGTGGATAGGAACAGGATGTGCCAGAGAGGGGACACAGAAAGAAGGGGTCACACTTGGAAGCTGAAGACTCAGATGAGCCACAAGGATGTTAGAAATCATTTCTTCAGTCACAGAGTTGTCAGTAAGTGTAACAGTCTAGAGAGTGAGGCAGTGGAGGCAGGATGTATACATAGCTTTAAGTAGAGGTATGATAAAGCTCATGGAGCAGGGAGAGAGAGTGGACTTAGTTGCGACCAATAAAGAGGCGGAGCCAGGAGCTATGACTCGGCCCCTGCAACTGCAAATAAATAACAAAAAGACACAATACCATGACTGGAAATGCAACTGCAATTAGGTAAGTGCAATTAGGTAAGTAAACACACACACACAATGTAATATGTAAATTAAATGAAGGTAAATTCATTGCTTTTATTTACATTATTACAGAAACAAAAGAAGAAAAAAATCTTACTTTCGGTTA